GAAAATACTTGCAAGCAAAATGGAACCAGTATTTGTGCTAATTAAGAGATAAGAAGTTTGAGGAAAATTAATTTAAGGAGGGAATGGGAACCTCACTGCTTAATTAGATGACACTACCACAGAAACTTTCCAAAAATAATTATGTGCTAAACAGTCCATTTTCTACTCTCTTGTATCCAACACATCTATTCTTTCAGGTATACAATTTAGATAGAATAAGAAATGCTAACAGTTTAGCTTTACCCAGGCTGTATTTTCCTTTCTGTTTGCATTACAATTCATTATGCATGGTTAGAAAACATGGTCATGATATTCAGAAACTCTTAAGCCTTTTTAAGTTAACTTTGAGATATGGTTAATATTTATGTTAATTTTTTAAATATTTATTTAGAAATCTTAGCACAAAAATAAGTTCAATTTATATAACTTTTTTTTTTTTTTTTTAGGATTTGGACATATTTTTGTATAATATCCTGGGAAATAGCAAACTTTTGCCCAATATAGTTCTTTTCTGATTGATTCTGTCACCAACACAAAACAAACTCGACAACAAATATTCAAAACAGACAATGCAGTACCATCTTACCCCTGTCAGAATGGCCATCATCAACAAGTGACAAGTGCTGGTGAGGATTCAGAGAAAAGGAATCAATCATGCACTGCTGGTGGGAATGCAGACCGGTGCAGCCACTGTGGAGAATAGTACGGAGTTTCCTCAAAAAAATAAAAATGGAGCTCCCATTTGACCCAGGAATCCCACTCCTAGGAATATATCCCAAGAAACCAGAAACACCAATCATTAAGGATATATGCACCCCTATGTTCATAGCAGCACAATTTACAATAGCTAGGATTTGGAAACAGCCTAAATTCCCATCAGCAAATGAGTGGATTAAAAAACTGTGTTACATCTAAGGCCATACCACCCTGAATGCGCCCAATCTCGTCTGATCTCGGAAGCTAATCAGGGTCGGGCCTGGTTAGTACTTGGATGGGAGAAAACTGTGTTATATCTACACAATGGAATACTACATTGCTGTAAAAAAGAAGGAATTCTTACCATTTTCATCAGCATGGATGGAATTGGAAAGCACTATGCTAAGCAAAATAAGCCAATTAGATAAAGATAAATATCACATGATCTTATTCATTTGTGTGGAATATAATGAACAATATAAACTTATGAACAAAAATAGATCCAGAGACAGAGAAGCATCAATCAGACCATTAAACCTCAGAGGGGAGGTAGGAGAGGGTGGGGGTAAAGGGAAAGAGTTCAACCAAAGGACTTGTATGCATGCACATAAGCCTAACCAATGGACACAGACATGAAGGGTGTAGGGGGTGCAGGAAGAGCCTAGACAAAAATCATACCACTATGGAGGAAGACAGTGGGGGATGGTAAGGACAGGGGGTGTGGGTGGGGGTGGGGTGGGAATTGGGTGGAGGGAAGCTATGGGTGGAAAAAAGAGAACAACTACAATATTCTAATTAATAAAGATTTATTTTTTCAGAAAGAATATATAAATCCATAATTTTTCTTTAAGTATACATTATTTTTCCTAATGTCAAATTTATTTCTATAAGTTCTAATAATCTTAATAATAAAATATTCAAACATAAGGACATATGTAATTTTTGTTACTTCATTATAAATAATGTTCAAATACTATGAATAATTAGAATAAAAATTTTACTGACTTAAATTTGGCATGTTTACAAATCAATTATACCATAAATATGAATTAGTAGTAATAAAGCTTACTAAGTTTTACCTGTTTTAAAGACAATTACAGTTGACCCTGAAATAATACAAGTTTGATCTCCAGGGGTTCTCTTATACCCAGATTTTTAAAAAATATATATTTTTAAAGTATCCAATTATTACCAACATAAATATAACATCTAAAAGAATAAATATTATCAAAGTAATCTCTTTATCCATTCTGTTTGAAAAAAAAAATCTCTATTGGAAATGCTGCTGACATATTCACATAGATATTGATCAGTAAAAATACCAAATGAAATAAGATTAACTATGTACTTTTAAAATAAATTAGTTTTTGCCTGGCTGGCATGGCTCAGTGGTTGAATATTGATCCATGAACTAGAAAATCACTGATTGATTCCAAGCCAGATTGTGGGCTAGATCCCCAGCATACACATGTTAGATAAATAATTTAAAAGACCTCTGAAATTATCAGAATGGAAAACTACTCCCTCAGTAATGTAGATTTTCTAAAACACATGGATCAAGGAAATTGATAATACTTAGAAGTATGAAGGAACACTTTTGCCCTTAGCCAAACAAATATTAAGTTACCCTTTCCTTTTATAACTTTCTTATTAGAAGGTGCCCTCCCTTCTGCTCCTCCAGATTCAGAATACCCTCAAGATGTCAGAAGTTATTTTATAACCTCCTGTAGAGTTAAAGTTATCTCATTGCCAGCAACAGAATCTAGCTGGTCCAACTTAATCTAGCTGGTCCAAGTGTAACATTAATTTTAATATTATTGGGAAGCTTATGAAGTTGGCAGGAAATCTGGAGTTTCAAGGCTCAGGAAAGGCTTTAAACAAAAATTTCTCTGGAGTCCAGGTGGAAGGCATATTCAAGTATCCTGTCAAGGATAACTACTAACGGTAAAGAGCTTTAAACATGCTTCTGGTCTTGAGTCTCTCTATTCAAAAGTCAAAGTTCTCAGAAAGTAGGTCCAGATTCTCTTGCTTAGTCATGTGCCCATTCTTTTCTTAGAAAGAGAGCACTATGATTTTTGGCCAATAAAAATTGGCCAATAAAAAGTAGGTGGAAGTGACTGATGTATGTCATTCTGGGCTAAAGGTAGTAAGAAGCTACTGTGCCTCCACAACAGTCTCTTTTCCCTTCTGCTAGTTGGATTAAGACTATAAAAAGAAAATTATTGAGACAATTAAAGAAAGAAGCTGTGTCCCTCAGTGATTATATGCAAGAAAGGTATCTGCCAATGTACATAAGAATTATTGAACAAATATAATGATTGATATGTCTACATATAAAACAACCTGTCTATATAAGCTATTAATAATAGTACTTAATTTTAAAAGTAGCTCTAGCATGTGAGTTGCAAGGCTGTTGTATTTGAGCAGGCTGCCAATTATATATATATATATTTATATATATATATATATATATATATATATATATATATATATATAAAATTAATATTTTTACAGAGAGGAAGAGAGAGATATAGAGAGGTAGAAACGTTGATGAGAGAGAATCATAGATTAGCTGCCTCCTGCACACCCCCTACTGGTGATGTGCCCACAACCAAGGTACATGCCCTTGACCTGAATCGAGCCTGGGACCTTTCAGTCCACAGGCCCATGCTCTATCCACTGAGCCAAACCGGTTTTGGCAGGCTGCCAATTATTAAATTTGAGTCTACACTGGGAATTTAGATACTACATTGGGTTACAGAGAAGACCTGGCTGAGAATATCAAACAAAATAAGCAAAATGTATACCTATTTATTGTAATAAAATAATGTACAATATTTCATTCAGAAAGCTAATTAATCAATCAATTAAGCACACAAGCAATGAAAGCTGATAGATCAAGAATATTTTGCCCAGACATTGTGTATACTTTAGCTGATCCTTTGTTTGCAAGTATTCTCTACTTTTGCATCACTAAATGGTCATAATAACCTCCTGTAAGAGTCTGCAATAAAATCAGTAAACTATAGAGAGAGGCAGGGAGTACAGTGTTGTTCTTGTCTGTTGGGTGGCAAGTTATGCACTTTATGCTATCGAGGGACCTGGAAATAGTAGACAAATTTTACTTTCTATTGGTTCAAATTAATCTCAAACTTATCAGCAAATATATATTGTATCCTTTTTCAATAACCTTGCTGTCTACTTGAAAAGGCAGGCATATTAATTAAATTAAATTTGGTAAAAGAGCTATGATTCGGATAAGATCATGAGTCCCAATTTGTCCAGTTTATGTGCATTATTGTTAATATTGTCTCTCTCACTCTTAATAGCGTTCTTGTTTGAATGATAAATTTTAATGCTAAGTTTTGTTTATGGGATTCAGAGAAGATAAATAAAAGGAACCATTTTAATAATTAAGTGTATGATAGGCTTTGAGATTAGTACTTATGCTCTCAAGAAGTCTAATATATACTTCAATTGGAGCCCTGATTGAACTGAAATCTATCACTAAAAAGTACTTCCTCTAGTATTGATTCCTGGTCAATGAGCTTGAGAATTGTGGATTTATTGAGTTATGACTACTCATTTATTTTCTAGATCCTGACATATTACACTGGAAATCTGTAGTCCTTGCATCTTTAAAGACTTCCAGGTGACCAGCTTTTGGACAGGTTTCTGTCAGGTTTTTAGGTTGCAGTAGGTATGAGTCCAATATTTGTACTTGATATTTCCTTCCACACTAGGCTAAATTCCTGATGTAAATTAATTTTAAAGATTTTACACTTAACTATATAAACAAAATCTATGTGATTCTTTGGGGGGAAATCGAGAATGTTTCCTGAGATACTTGTAGCAAGCCTTGTGCTACTTTGGTTTATTGAAAAGTTTCAGCTTCATGGATTATGGAAGTTGGACAAGGTCCTATATCCCCTATTTATTGACCCAAAGCTTGACCACCACCATAAGCAGCGTTTATTAACATGGTTAGTATCCAAATTACATTAGCCTGGATTTTGACTAAGTATCAGCTAATTATTTTAGACTTCTTTTTTCCAAAGCATTGTGACCAACCAATCACAAAATGTTACTTCCAGACTTATTCAGAGTTCTAACTAAAGCTCTGATTTAGGTCTCAATAATACACTTGTTTTTGAGCTGATGATGGTTTTCCAGGGTGAGGAAACACTGTGGGAGGTTTTAATTGCATGCTAATGATATTAGCATCAACTGACAAATTACATCTGTCTCTGAGTCAGTGCAATATAAGTTTCTGTTGATGTTGTAATGTTAGACTTGAAGATTACCTTCATGTTGTTAAGATTTATAATTTTCCCTGAGACGGTTTCCAAGCTACATTGTTCTGCTACTTATTATTTAATATTAATAGAACTGTTTTAATCTTGGCAGTGTGAAGAGGCTGGAAAGAGGAATATGAGGAGGTCCAAAGCTATCTGTTTGGCGCTGCTTTGTGTTCTTTTTGCTTCTCATATTTACACACCTATACCGGGCAACATTGAAGAACGCTGGAAAGTAATAGCTTTGGATGCAGCTGTTAAAACTTGTACATTTATGGTAAGATGATAATTTTTCCTGTGGATATTGGGGTGCCTTGTTAACTTGTGACTTTTCTATTAATTACTGTTTGTACATAACCATTGTTTGTTCACTAGAATAAATGAACTACATGAAATTAAGTAAAACTCGGTGTATCAGTGCAAAACAGAACGAGATAGGATTCTTGTTTCCAAAGAGTTTATGTCTAAATGTAGACTCTATCTGTTGTGATATGCATAAAATAAATGGTATTTTTAAGAGAAAACTTGGACATTTATTTGACAACTTGACTTATATTTGAGTTTCCAGGGACAATCTAGTTCCATAGGTCAGAGCTAAGCATTGATGTTTGTACCCATTTGATGTTAATATAGAGCTCTTACTATTTCAATGGCTTTGGCTGTCCGTCCCAAGTCTACATTGCTGAATTTCAGAGATTGTTTGACTTGGAATATGCAGGGTAGATTATGAGTTCAAGCAAAAAATAGCTCCTTGGTAAGGGGAGACATGGCTATAAACTAAAATTTCTGAGTTTTTATAATGCATAAGCATTCTGTAACATATACCTCTTCTCATCTCCACTATTCTTCAGTTATTTTTAGCGGTTTAAAGAGGAGGAAAAAAAGGCTGAGAAGAGTTTGTGCAGCTAGAAATTGACAACTCCAGAATCTGAACTCAGGACTGCCTCATTTCAAAACTCAAACTCTCTCCGCAAAACCAGGTGGCTCCCGGAAAAGTTCTCTGATGGGAGTAACAATGTGAGATAACAATGTGAGGAGGCAGTGGCAGCAGTAGATGATTAGAGAAGTGAGCAACCCCTGGTCTAAGAGGGAGAGGCTGTCCCATGGAGCTTTGTACAGTGGATGACAGTTCTCTGAAACCAGAGCCACTTCCTGTCTGTGTCTGCTAAGTCCTGATACTTTGCTCTCAAACCACTCTTAGGGGCTCATTTTCACCCTACTGTCTTTTCCTAATGTTCTCACTTCATTTTACACAAACTCAAGGATATGTGGGTTGACAAGTGCCAGCTCCATGGAGAAACTGCTGTTATCTTACTTGACTCTTTCATAGGTATTTCAAACTCAGAGTGACTGATACTGATATTATCAAAAGTACATTGGCAGAACAGCCAACTTAAAAGTTCTACTTCTACTTTCGTAACTACAAATTATTCTTACCTACCTATAGTAAAATAATGCACTTGATGTATTTGATGTCATAATGGGTTGCCCTTTATTAAAAAAATATATTGAAAAAGCACATATATAGTTACTTTAAAGATTATTCTAGTAAAATCAACAGTCGTTCACTGTTATAGGGAAAACAATTTTATTGTTGTCTGTACTGAATTTGCAACTCAAAGTTGTGATACCAGTAAGAAAAATTATTTTTTAACATATAAAAGGAAAGTGAAAATTAAAATTCTTGGCAAAGTGGCTTTGAAAAACAAACACAATTACTATGTTATCACATGTCAAATTGAAAGACAGTTTAAGAAAGAAACATGCCCAATCCTGAGAAATTTCCTTAGGTTTTCAAGCAATTTTTTTTAGCTTTAAAAAGAAGATAATAATGATAAATATTTTGCAGCATTGCTCTGATAATTAGAGATCTTGTATTCTAGGCAAACACAAAATAATCTCTAAAATGGTAGCTTTTGATATTGTTCCAAAAATACTTAAGTATTTATTCAAAACCAGGAGATATCTAAGAAATGAAAAAAGGTAATTTGCCAAAAAAAATCTAATTTTTAAAAGCCAATTCACCAAATGAAAAATTAAATTAACACAATTTAACCATTTATCAAAAACATGCTTTAAGGAACATTCTATGTGAAAGCATGCATTTAGGATTAAAACACTAAAAAGCTCATGTTGGTGAGAAATGCTTAACTAACAATAAGACAAGATTGTCTGAGAACTTACATGGTCTAGGCACTCTTCTACAGTGCATTCAGAGTCCTAGCTCATCTAAACCCTACTAAAACGCAGTGAGAAATTCTATATGATTATTAATTATTATGATTTTAATTATACAGGTAAGAAAACTGAAGTACAGAGAGTAATTTGTTTAAGGTCAGACGGAGTATACAGGGGTATAAGAAACTAGTCTAGAAAAATGGTTGCAGACTTGGCTTTGAGATTTAATGGCTATCATTTCAGGTTTTTACATGTTTCCTTAACATTAAAGTGTGGGGATTCGATGTTCTCTAACCCGCTGTAATACCTTAAACTCTTTGGAATAATTATAGTAATAAAGGCTGTTTAATGTACTATTGACCATGTATTTTTTAAAAGTTTTTTATTTTGAATAAACTGTCCAGGACATGTCACCCAGGTCCTGGAGAAGCTGTTCAGAAATACCAAGGAGAGATTTTTTTCCATGATATCATTTATGGGGGACAAGGCTTGGTGTAGGGGGGAGAGGGAATTGTGAAAGGGCTATAAACAATTGGCAGGTAGAGAATGATGAAAAGGCTATGAACAGAAATCTATTTGGAAATAAAAAGCAGGGCATTTGAATCATTTAGATGACAGTTAACATTTTAGATTAAATACAATTAAAAATAACAAAGAGAAAAATATGACAGAGTGCCAAAAAGAAAGGAAGGTAGGATGTTATAAGACCTAGAGATTTTTCAGTTAATACTTTACAATTAAAAAATAATGATGATAGGCATAAAAGAAACTGTCAGTAAATTGAAGCTTTTGAGAGAGATAGTTATTAGTCTAAAGACATAATACTTGAGATTTCAACAGCAATAAATTTATGCAATAAGAGCTATATAATATTATTTGGAAACAATTTTTATAAACATTCTATTTCTGTTTATATATTTTGCTTATGTTTTTCACTTTCCCTCTGTATACGTTTGATGTAATTTAAAGATGAAAACATTTACTTTTGTTCTGCTCTTACAGGGTATGTGTTTTGAAAATCTAGGTATTATGTCACTTGAAGACTTTATTTCCATGATATTCAGGCTGGATTATACCCAACCACTTTCAGATGAATACGTCACAGTGACTGATACAGCATTCACTGACATTCCAGTGCGTTTGTACTTGCCAAAGAGAAAGTCAGAAACCCCAAGACGAGCTGTAATCTATTTTCATGGTGGAGCTTATTGTTTGGGAAGTTTCAGTAAGTTCATTATATAAGTCAATATTATAATAGGTTATATGTTTTTTTATATAAGTACAATTTGATATAAATAAACATATATACTTATGCACAGTATATATATATATATGCACATTATATATTTGATATAAATAAACATATACATATACAGTATATATATATATATATATATATATATATGGTGCATAAGTATAGCTATAAGTATTAGGTATCTATTAGAGAAATATACATACATAGATATATCTAGCAAAATATATCATGGAGATTGCAATTTCTATTTTTTGTTTTGTTTTGTTTTTTTGGTAAACATTTTCTTCTCATTTTTTTTTCGTTGAGTAAGCTTATATCGAATGTTGGACATGAACATCAATTAGTAAACTTTTTTCTTTGGGATAAGAATATATTCAAGCCGAAACCAGTTTGGCTCAGTGGTAGAGCGTCAGTCTGAGAAGTGAAAGGTCCCAGGTTTGATTACGGTCAAGGGCATGTACATTGGTTGGGGGCACATCCCCGGTAGTGGGTGTGCAAAAGGCAGCTGGTCAATGTTTCTCTCTCATCGATGTTTCTAGCTCTCTATCCTTCTCTCCTCCTCTCTGTAAAAAATCAATAAAATATATTTTAAAAATAAATTAAAAAAATAAAGAAAATACTCAAGAACAGAAACTTTGAGGTGGTGCAGATGCATTAAGCAGTAAATCAGAAGCATATACTGTTGGTGGCTACAAAAATACATTTGTGATTACTGATAGCCATAATGCTAACAGTGGAAAAGCCTAGACTAGTTGTTAGTCTTGATTATAAAAGGAAAACACAAAATTGAACTATGTAAAGATTTTGTGAAAACACAAAATTGACCTATGAAGTCTAATGTTCCTACTTATGTCTGGTAATGATTCCAAGAGGCAAATATTGCAGATTCAAAAAAAAAAAATACATGAGCAAATTCACTTTTTGGAAAACTCCATCTTAAAATGGTGCTAGTAGTTGGGGGTGGAGGATAAGCAGTGTTCTACTTAATTAGAATAATGAAGTTTAACAAATTAATAGAATTGAAGAAAAGTAAATAATTTATAAATGTAAGTGTTCACCTTCTGTCTTTCTCTAAGCCTCACTTAATTCTAAGTAATTTGAGAATCTTACAAAGATATATTGCAACATAGCAAGTGACACTTGACCAAATTTGAGTAATGAATATTAGTCAAAGAGAAAATAAGCATGGAAAATTAATGAAGCACAAAGGCTTTTATTAATATTCAAAACAATAAGATGGTTAGACTGTAATTTTGCATTTCTGGTTTCTCCTCCCTACCTTTTTGATAACTAACATTTTTTTTGGGGGGGTGGGAATCATAATCCTAACAAGTCTTCTAGCTTATTCTGAGGCACTAATATTGGAGTACCACTGTCTTAGGTTTTTCTATGAAAAAAAAATCACCTAATGTTTCTGTAACTTATTTTTTTCCAATCTTTCTCTTTTCCATGTCTCATTTTAAAACAAAATGAACAAATTAACAATCTCTATACTTACTCTGTATATTTTCAATCCTTACCTCCCAGCTTCAACTCTACACATTCTCTTTTCCAATCCTTTATTTTCTCCAAATACCCAATATGCTACTGACAACCAGTTCTGAATCTCCTACTCTGACAATATCCTGGATTCTGGATTCTCACTAAAACTACAATTAGATATTTACAACTGGACAAACCAGACATCTCAAGTTCAGTATGACTGAGCACAGTCCACTGTCTTATGTCCAAACAGTCTTATCTAAATCAATCTCTCATCCTCTTGAATGTTCTCAGTAAACAGTAATTATCACCAATTCTTTGCTGTTCCTGGAGCTGACATTAAATTTACATCTCATTCATTCCCCTTTCATATATTTTGACCTCATTGATACAATTTAGTACTTCACGATCTGAGATATTCCTTTCTGATGCCCTTGCCTTTATCCTACTGAACTTTATTTCATCTTATATATTTAGCACTCTCTAACATGAAAATCTGGTTACATGCTTTCTTTGTCTAAATTATTTAGAAACTTCCATCATTTATTGAAAGAAATCAAAATCCCTTAGCACAATGTTCAGATTTCCAGGTTCTTAACATTCTTTAACTTTTTTGTCCCTGCCAATGCAATGCTTTTTTCCATAATTTTATTTCAACCAAATACTCCATGCATGCTCATTTCTCTCTGTGACTATGCTTTCCTAGCATGTCTTTCCAATCTTACTTCTCATCCTTTTATGTTTAGGTAAACTATCAATTCAGCTGTGTGTGCACATGTGCATGTATGTACACATGCTGAGGTGGGGGGATGCTCAAGTGTGTGTGTGTGTAGGCTTCCCTGGTTCTATAAGATTTTAGCAATATTCCTGTGTGTCCTTTACAGCTTGTATAAGCTTGATGCCACCAATTCTTGCTTTGTTTCACAACTGTGTTACATGTTTGTTTTAGCATCTCCTTGTAAGTGGCATAACCTCCTAGCATCTAGCAAAGCACTTTCATACAGTAAATGTTCAACAAATGTCCTTTTTTTGGGGGGGGGAGAGAATAATTAAAGGAAATTCTGTTATAGATCTTTAGAGTGATTATCAAAGAAAATTTTCCTAGTACTTTTTTTTATGTCTTTATTCATTTCCCTAATGTTTTTAGTAAATTAGATTTCATCTATAATTCAATTTATATTAGGCATTAAGATGGTCAGAATATTCAGATTCCTTCTAAGATAAATTAAAGACCGAGTTGGCTTCATTTCAATAATTAACACCACTTTAGTTTTTATAAGGTCTATGAAATATCCAAATGTTCATATTAATATTACAGTGATATTAATATGAACACTGGTGATCAGCCCTAAACCAGCAGACATCCCTCTCACAATATGGGACTGCTGGCTACCAACCGCTCACCGGCCTGCCTTCCTGATTGCCCTTAACCACTTCTGCCTACCAACCTGGTCACCCCCTAACCACTCCCCTGCCAGCCTGATCAATGCCTAATTGCTCCCCTGAAGGCCTGGTCCCCCCAAGAGCCCTCCCCTGTTGACCTGGTTGCCCCTAACTGCCTCTTCTGCTGGCCATCTTGTAGCAGCCATCTTGTGACCGCATGGGGGTGGCCATATTGTATGAGGGTGTGATAGTCAAGTTGTATATTACCTCTTTATTATAAAGAATAAGCAAAACAGCCCATCCAGTGTGGCTCATTGGTTGAGTGTCAACCTGTGGGCCAGAAGGTCTCAGTTTGATTCCGGTCAGTGACACATACCTGGGTTGTGGGCTCAGTCCCAGTGTGGGGCATGTAGGAGGTGATGGATCAATGATTCTCTCTTGTCATTGATATTTCTGTGTCTCTCTCCATCTTCCTCTCTGTAGTCAAATTTTAATTTTTTATTAAATAATAAGTAAAAAAATAAATGGAAGATAAAAGTAAAAACATGTTTGAAATATATCATTAAGGGACTTTAAATGTGAGGACCAATGGATTATTATATATTTTAATCTTCACCTATACATTGTCTTTTTTACATTATTAATTCCATCTTTAATGAAAACATTTTTCTACATAAATGACTAGTCAGGTTTTTTTTTCTAATTTTAAGGTTATTATATACCCAGTATTTAATTTGAAGTTTTGCTAATATACAGCAGACAACTTAGAAAAGCCTAGAATTTGATAACAACTCAAGAATTCTCTGAATTTCTAGAGTCTTGTGGTAAACAAAGTATTAGTAGATGTCACAGACTTGCCAAAGTTCGGTGACGAAGGCACTGACCCAGTAAATTGGATTTGCGGGTACATAGAGATAGGTGTGTGTATGTGTGTGTTGGAGGAGAGGTGATGACTTGTATGCCAAGTATGCCACAATGCACATGTACATCAAACCTACACCGACTTGTCAGAGACTCTCTCAAAAATCTAGCTGCTTTTTTAAACTTTGTCTTACATGCCAAAGTTATGGACCAATTCACAATGTGGTATATTGGGAGAAAATGAAGTTTTTAAAGAACCATGTTATGGAGTGTTGTAGTATTAGACAGTCAACTCACCTACTGCTTTTTTATTTCACTTAGTTCTAAGCCAATTGAAAGATTGTACACAAAGTTCAGGTAAATAAAATCAAAACAGAACCAGTTTCTGGTGAAGGTTGAAGAATGTGTATCCAGGTGTCGTTGAGTCAGAGACTCATCTGTAGTGGCTAGTTGCCTAGAGAAGCAGAGCACAAGAACACAAAGGGTTTTTGGGAGTATTACTGTGTTTAGACAACAAATGACCAGCAAAAATTGGAATGGACTGAGCCTAGTTTCAATTGCCCAGAGCACCAATGAGCCATGTAATTTTTTACCCCTGATGACAGCAATTGAAGAAACACTCCCATAGACTGTGTCATGCTGATTCAGGTGACTCTGCATATAAAAAGTGGTAGGGAACATAGTTCCTTGTAATACTCAAATCACATTTCTGTTCAAGTTCATAGATATAATTTTCTGTTGCTGTTTTATTATTATTATTATAAGGAGAACTTTGACATTTATTTCTTCATTTCAGAGCAGAAGGCTTTTGACATCCTCAACAGATGGACTGCAAACAAACTTGATGCTGTTGTTGTAGGAGTGGAGTAAGAGAATACTTTTCTTAGGCTACTATGATTTTTGCTTTCACAAAGTAGAGGTTTTGTTTTCTAATCAAATCAGCTATGCCTTAAAAATAATATTTAAGAATTTATATATTTTATTTGTAACCATTACAACATAGAGAAGACTTCAAATATGTTAGTATCTCATTTTTCTTCTGTGATATGGGAATTTCTGTGTATTTTTAAAAACATTATTGCTCTAGATTCTTAAACTCAGATTGTAAAGGCCCTATTTATGCCCCAAGAAATTTGGCTAGAGAGAAAGAAATAAACAATTACACATTGGGAATGTTCAGTGTATCTGAGTTTATATGTTTTACTTCAGGACAAGTCTTTGAAGTATTATGGAAAGTAAAGGTTGAAATCAGCTGATAATTTTAAACCACTCTCCAGAAAAGTAATCTTACATTCTGGATTTTGCAAGAATATACAATCATATCTTAGGTCAGTTCAATATTTTCTTACACTGGGATAGTCTGGAATTCTAAAGCCAACATCCTCAGAGAAATTTTTTTCTGATGATTCTTTCTCAGTAAAAAAAATATAGAAAGTTCTAATCCAATAGTTCTTTCAAGATATTGTGACATAGTTTTTGTTTGTTTGTTTGCTTGCTTTAAGTTATGGAAATTTAGAGGAAAAACTAAAGTAAAATTTCCTTAACTAAAACATGATTGCCATTGTTATTGTCAATGGTGCTTTTTCAATAATTGTAAAAAATATTTTTGATCACCAGATACACTGAGAATATGATGTAAACTATATAACATCTTCAATCCAAAATATACTTGGACTAAAAGTTATGGTTATAGTATCGGGAATTCATAACATTCCCCTTACTTCTCACATGCAATGCCATCCATGGACCTTAAATATGATGTGAAAAGCTTTATATCTATTTTTAGTTTTTCACATCATAATGACTTAGCAGAAAACTCGGGTTTGATTTTTGGAAGATAAAACAATAAAACCTGTTTAATTACATCTATTTGATACTTTGAAGCTACCTAGATAGATACAACCATAATGGTACTTATTAAAACTGTTTAAATACATTTCCCCCCAAAGCTATAGGCTAGCTCCCCAACACCGTTTTCCTGCTCAGTTTGAAGACAGCATCGCTGCAGTCAAGTTCTTTCTTCAGGATAAAATTCTTACGAAATATGGAGTGGATCACACCCGAATCTGTATTTCCGGAGACAGTTCTGGGGGCAATTTAGCAGCAGCAGTGACTCAAGAGGTACATTATATTAGTCTTTATGCTGGGAAATAGAGGTCAAAAGTTATTTCCTCCCTCTTACAGATAGCTAGTTCTTCCAGAACCATTTCTTGAAAAGATCATCCTTTCTTCTTGGATTATAATGATGCTTGCATGTAAAAATCAATTGACTATAATAATATGACAATCTATTTCTGAATTCTCTCTTCTGTTCCACTGATCTATATGTCTATCCTTATGCCAATACTATGTTGACTTCAGCTTTATTTTTTGTTTTCGTTTTTTTCTAAATTATTTCTAATATTCCATGTCTTTTCTCTCAAAATACTAGGATATCTTATCAATTTTTAAATAAAGACTAATTGAATTTTGATTGGTACTGCATTGAATCTATAAATTTGGAGAGGATTATCATTTTAATAATGATGTTATTAAATGCTTTTTCAATACTTTTTTAAAATGTTTAAAAATTAATGCACATGGTATATCTCCTATTTTATTTAGTTTCTCTTCAATTTCTACAGCAATATAAAGTATGAGACATACCATGTGCATCAATTGAAAATATTTTCCCATAGTTATTCTTGAGTTACTTTGGAAAGTTTTATTTAAAATAATATTTCCAAATGTTTACTGATAGTACATAAAATGCATTTGATTTTTAAAGTAAACTTATAATTATATTCTTAAAAATTTTACTTATACATTATAGTAGGGTGTTTTTTGTTTTTTTTACATCTTCTATGATTTCTGTACAATCATATATTCTGCAACTAAAGGGAGTTTTAATTCTTCCTTTGTAATTTTTATGCTTTTATTTTATTTTCTTAATCAGTGCACTGGCTGTACAGTGCAATATTAATTTCCTTCCTTTAAAACTTAGGAGAAAATCATGCAATATTTCACCAATAAATATGATGTTAACTGAAGGTTTTCCATAGTTTGCTTTTGTCAGATTGAGGAATTCCTTCTATTCCTTTTTACTGATAGTTTTTTTTCATAAGTGGGTATGGAATTTGCTGACTGCTTTGAATGCATCTATTTCAGATGAACATATGATTCCTCACCTTTAATTTTTTTCAATGTGGTAAGTTAAGTCAATTGACTTTCAGACATTACATTATGCTTGCACTCAGGCATGAGCCTCCTTTGGTCATGATAAATAAAAATTTTATATATGGCTAGTTTCCATTTGCTAAAATTAAAGATGTAGAGCTTTGGGAGGGATTGCTTTCTATTTTTAAAAAATGTCTTTGTCAGATATTGACCTAAGGTTTATACTGGCTTCAATTAAAACATTTGGGAAGCATTCCGATACCTTTTTTCTTAATTTCTTTTCTCTTAAATATTAAAATAAATTATTCATGCTTGGAGCACTTAAAAGATTGAAAATACAAACAGAGAGACATATACATTTATATTTTATGTATATACTATACACATGTGAAGATATATACACACATATGCATACATACTTATTATGCCTTATGTATGTACTGATCTGCAACACCATATACACATATAAAGCCCTATTGTGGAGCCATTACATCTGCAATAGCAAAATTTAACCTTTGGCTCTGCACCTTGGGCCTCCTTATAACCCAAGATGCTCCACTTCAATGCCTTTTGTGGTTAGAGTACTACATAATTTTTTTTAGGGGGAAAAAGGAAGTTTGCAAACCATTAGATGTGTTGATTGCTGAGGTCTCTTTCACCCTGAACTAACCTGATGTGTATTTGAAATAATACTAATATGTCACTTATTTGAAGGATCTTGCTGGCCAAGGGTGAGAACTTAATTAAGGAAAGAAATTTGAAAATAGTTTCAGATTATTATGCTAGCTGCCATACCAAGTCATATAGCAAGCTGATCTTGATTCTTATCTAAAACTGGTTTTGTGGATGTAGAGATTCTGAAAAGCCTCCAACAATTACCCCACGATGATTGACCATGCAACACCTTGCCACACCTATAATTTCTACATGTACAATGTAATTATGGGCTGGCTTTGAAAGTAAAGAAAGCTTTTGAAATGATGAGTAAGTGTAGCCATAGATATTCATGAAGAAATGAAGACCCACTTGGCAATCTTCAATATTAATATAGCCACCCAAAATAAATGCAATTCACAAATAAAATTTGTAGGGCAGTACAAATTGTTTTCTTTTTCTTTTCTTTTTCTTTTTGTCTGTATTTGCCATAACTTTTTAAAGCAGAATATAATGAGCACTGCACTTCTATTCACAAAACTTGCTCTCAGTTACTGTCAAAGGGCTTTACAACATGCCTAGGTAGCTTATATTATTTCTGCTATGCTACACAAACCTTTTCTTTGGAGACAAACCCAATGGACAGTTACTACCATCGTGTTGGTCAGTTTAACATACTAACTTCTAGAGGCCATACATGCATTTGGTAACTACAGGGGTGTCAGGCTCAAAAAGTAGATCTTCAGGGATGAAGGTTGTTTCAACCACGAATCTCAGAACACTTTAGCAACAAAGATTTGGTCTACTTAGGAATATGCTTGAGAGATAAATACTTCAGACCACAAAGTTAATGTACATTAGGCTACACGTATCTTACAACAAAGATAACCCCATTCTGTTAAAACAGGCCAACATGGAACTAGGAAAGAAAAAGGAGTCCGGCTTCAGTGCCTGAATATCACAGTCTCATACACATAGAGAGGGAAAGGAACCCAGTCTTCCCTTTAACTAGTTGCCATGCCATACATATTTTTAAAATGTTAACAAAAATAAAGGAAAAGTCCATGAAAATACATTATCCAAGGGAATGAAGGGAAAGAACTGAACATGTGTGCAGGTTTCTCCAGGTGAGCTTAGTCTACTTCCTCCAAGCCTTGTCAGCAGTGAGGTCATCTTGAAGTAAAAGAAATTTGATATTATTCTATTCTTTGAATTATACAAAAAAAAAAGAGTAGATATTTAAAATTTTGGTCTATCTGTTCAAAGAGATTGTTACAACTGAGAATGCTGCATTAAAAACTCAGTGAGCCAAAACCGGTTTGGGCTCAGTGGAGAGAACATCGGCTTGCAGGCTGAAAGGTCCCAGGTTCGATTACGGTCAAAGGCATGCACATTGGTTGTGGACACATCCCCCATTGCCCCACCTCCATCCCCCATCAACCCCCATGGTGTCTGTGTCCATTGGTTATGCTTATATGCATGCAAACAAGTTCTTTGGTTGATCTTCCACCCTTACCAGAACCCTCCGCTTCCTTCCCTCTGAGATTTGAACATCTGATTGATGCTTCTCTGTCTCTGGATCTGTTTTTGTTAATCAGTTTATGTATTTAATTATATTCCACAAATGAGTGAGATCATGTGATATTTATCTTTCTCTGAGTGGCTTATTTCGCTTATGACAATGCTCTCCAGGACAATCCATGCTGTTGCAAATGGTAGGAGTTCCTTCTTTTTTACAGCAGCATAATAGTCCATTGTGTAGATGTACCACAGGTTTTTAACCCATTCATCTGCTGATGGGCATTTAGGCTGTTTCCAAATATTAACTATTGTAAATTGGGCTGCTATGAACATAGCAGTGCAAATATCCTTTCTGATTGGTGTTTCTAGTTTCTTGGGATACATGCCTAGAAGTGGGATCACTGGGTCAAATGGGAGTTCCATTTTTAGTTTTTGAGGAAACTCCATACTGTTCTCCAAAGTGGCTGCACCAGTCTGCATTCACACCAGCAGTGCATGAGTGTTCCCTGTTCTCCACATCTTCGCCAGCACTTATCATTTGTTGATTTGTTGATAATAACTATTTTGACAGGTGTGAGATGGTACCTCACTGTCATTTTGATTTGCATCTCTTGGATGATTAGTGACTTTGAGCATGTTTTCATATATCTCTTGGCCTTCCTTATGACCTCTTTCAAAAAAGTATCTATTTAGTCCATTGCCTATTTTTTTTGAGTTGGTTATCTTCCTTTTGTTGTTTTTATATAACTTTTTTTATTTTAAATTCTTGCCAAGCTATTGATAATGGCACTCTCTGTGTTCTAAGTTCTCTTCTATTCAGTTTAAAAAAAAACAAAAAAAACACAACATAATTTATTAATCTTTAGAGAGAAAGGGAGAAGAGAGAAACATTAATGTGAGAATATAACTTTGACTAGCTGCTTCCTACATTCCCCCCATCAGGGATGAACTCTACAACCCAGGCATGTTCCTTAACCCCTCAGCGCGTGAGATGAAGTACAACCAACTGAGTCACACTGGCCAGTGCCCTTTCATTTAGTTTTATGTGAGACAAAACTCCTTTTTACACTCCCTGGTATTTCCCAGGGTTCAACTCTTTGGTCATTCTTTCTTCTCTCCCATTCTCTCTCTATGCTCTATGGCTCAGCTCTGATTTATCTGCTGAAGACTCTCTAATCCACATATTCCACTGTTACCACTGTCCTGAGTTTAAAACTCATACACCAGAGTAGATGTTTCCACCCAGATGTTTCAGAAACTCCAGAAACTCCTCCAGACCAAGCTCTTCTGTTACCTCTATATTGCCCGTAGCAGATTATACACAGAGTATAGTGCTTATCCTTCTATTTGTTGCATGTGAAATTCCCCAACTAGAATCTTAAATGTTTGGAAATCTAGAAGTGTATGTGTGTGTGTGTGTGTGTGTGTGTGTGTGTGTGTGTGTGTGTGTTCTACTTTCTATATTTCCAAACCCTGACATCATACCTGTATACCTCCTATCTTTTTTTCTCCACCTCTCAGGATTGCTGGGGTTTGACCTCCACTTCTCTTCAACTTGTTTTACCTGAACTGATTAGTTACTTTCTTTAACCTATTCCCTTTCCAACATAGCACGATTTCACAAGTTATCTTCAATGTGTATTTGCGGGGGGAAATGTACACCATTGGAAAGAGCAACAATTATTTATCTTTGGAATTAGGTTGGTTTGGTAATTTGCCTGAGAAGAGTGTGGGTGGATTTATTTTGTCCCCTCTCTGTTTCTTTCTTTGGTCCTTGGTGGGGAAAACAAAGAAGTCCATAAATGTTACATCAGAGTAAAATATAGTAAATGATGAATTTAGAGAGATTGTCAAGGTCAGATCATTAAAGGGCTTTGTGATTTTTTTTTTTTTTTACTTAACTCATACCATTGTGATTGAAGAAGATATTTTTTATGATTTCAGTCTTCTTAAATTTATTGAGACTTATTATGTGTCTTGACATATGCCCTGTCCTGGAATACATTCCATGTGCCCTTGAAAAAAAAATGTGTATTCCTCTTCTTTGAGGTAAAATGTTCTAAAAATATTTATTAAGTTCATATGCTCTAATTTGTTGTTTAAGGAATGGTTTGCTTGTTGATTTTGTCTGAATTATCTATTCATTGATTTCAATGAGGTATTTAAGGCCCTATTATTACCATGTTACTCTGTATCTCTTGCTTTATGTCCATCTATATTTGCTTTCTACATTTAGTTTTCATACTAGCTTCATAATTTGTTGATTCATTGTTTTTGCAAAATGTTTGCCTTTTGTCAGTCAAATATTTTTCTTTTTATATTTTTGTATTTATATCTTTGATCTTTTCTTTTCCACTTAAAGAAATTCCTTTATCATTTCTTACAGTACTGGGTTAGTGTTGATGAACTTCTTTAGCTTTCCTTTGTCTGGAAAACTCCTTCTCTCTCCTTCAGTTCTAATGATAGCCTTGCTGGGAAGAGTAATCTTGATTGTAAGTCTTTCCTCTTCCAATTTTAGCATATTTGCTGCCAAAGTGAACACTATGTCTTTGCTTTTCAACACTTTCAATATTTCATGCTAATCCCTTCTCTTCTACAACATTTCTATTGAGAAATCAGCTGGGATCTCCATCTTACATAACCACTTTCCTCTTGCTGCATTTAAAATTCTCTTTTGTCTTTAACCTTTGATATTCTAATTATAATATGTCCTGCTGTGGACTTCTTTGTGTTTATTTTATCTGGAACTCTCTGCACTTCTTGGACTTGTATGCCTATTTCCTTTGCTAGGTTAGGAAAATTTTCAGTCATTATTTCTTCAAGTAGTATTTTTTTAAAAAATATATTTTATTGATTCTTTTAGAGAGGAAGGGAGAGAGATAGAGAGTTAGAAACGTCGATGAGAGAGAGTCATTGATCAGCTGCCTCTTGCACACCCCCTACTGGGGATATGCCCATAACCAACATATATGTCCTTGACCAGAATCGAACCCAGGACCCTTCAGTCTGCAGGCCAACGCTCTATCCACTGAGCCAAACTGGTATTGGCTCAAGGAGTATTATTTTTTTTAACCCTTTGTTCTCTATCCTCTCCTGGGATCTTTTTGATGCAATTATTGGTATACTTGATATTCTTGATAGTGGTCCCTTAAACTAACCTCCTTTTTTATTCTTTGTTGTTGTTCCAGTTGGGAGTTTTTCACTACCTTGTCTTCCATATTATTGATTCAATTTTCCATTTCATCTAATTGCTGTTGATTCCCTCTGATGTCTTATTGATTTCAGTTATTTTATAACTAGAGGCACAACACATGAAATCTGTGCAAGAGAAGGCCTTCCTTCCCCCACCTGCCAGCATCAGCTTCTCTCTAGCATCAGGGATCTGGGCTTCCCTCTGGCCACTAGAAGGCACCTGGGACCCTGGTTTCCCTCACAGTTATAGCTTCATCCAGAAGGTAGTCTACAAGGACATCCAGTCTAATTAGCATATTACACCAGCCACTGCTTGTTCATGGTTTGGGGGTGCTTGGTAGGAGCCACAAAGTGATTGATTGTTTGCCACTAGTGCTGGACTTGGATGTGCTTGGGAGAGGCTACGCTGCAAACTGAGACCAGCTGCCACTTGTTCTGGATTTGAGACCTTTGGTGGGTGCTATGATGCAAACTGAGGCTAGTCGTCATTAGTGCTGGGATTGTGGCAACTATGCTGCAGGCTAAGACTGGTTGCCACTTAAGTCCAGTTTGAGGCCACCCAATGGCAGTGACAGTGCAAATTGAGACTCGTTATCACGTATGTTCACCTTGAGGCCACTTGGCAGGAGCTACAATTTAAGCCAAGGCCTGTTGTTGTTTGTGTGGGGTTTTTGGACCTTTAAGAGAGTCTGTAGCATGAGCCAAGAGCAACCACTTGCATGGACTTTGTGACCTTTTGAAAAAGTCTGCAGCACAAGCCTAAGGGTTCCATGACTCATGTGGAGTTTGCAGTCCTTTGAGTGTGTCTGCAACATGAGCCAAGGCAGGCCACTCCTATGGAGGCACTTCTGGAAGAAGCTCAAACCAGACTAGGGAATTGAGTTGGATGGGGTCTGAGGGAGTCACCAGAGTGGGGTGAACTATGTTTGCTATGATAATGGAGAGCATGAATTTGGTACCTTCCTGCCCTGGGCCAGCTTCTGGGAGGAGAGCTCAGCAAAGGAACAATGGTGCCAGCCAGTGATTCTGTCCCTGGTGAGAATGGCAGCCCTCATCCAGAAGTTAGTCAACTTAGTTTTTCCCCAGATGTTCCTGGCACTTTTTGACTTGCTGCCTCTGTGCTGGAATTTAGATTGAATGAGTTTCTGTTCTGCCCCTTGAAGAGCAGCATATCCTGGTCCCCCACAGGCATTTATCTGTCTGGGATGCAGACCCCACTGGTTTTCAGAGACAGATGTCATGGGGACTCCTCTTCCCAGCACTGAACTTAGGAGCCCAGATTGGAGTTGGGCCTGATACATCTCTCCTGTTTTCTTACTCAATAATTTCAGGCATGGAACCTGCCCTGTCTGCATCTCCACCTCTCTTACCTGTCTCAGTTATGACTTTTTCTTCTGTATCATTAGTTATAGGAATCCTGTTCAGCTAGTCTTCAGGTGGTTCTCAGTGGTGGTTGTTCCATAGTGTAGCTGTAATTTTTGATGTGATCTTGGCAGGAGGCAATCTCACAGTTTACCTACTCTGTCATCTTGACTGGAAGTTGGGTGTGTGTTTTTTGTTTGTTTGTTTGTTTGTTTTTTGTTTTTAGACTATAATTTTGACAAGGCTATATATGCCCTCAATTTCCTCAAGTATATAGTATTTAGTTTTTCCCCATTGGTGGTTTTTGACAAAAACAGTATTCTATCATTCTCTCTCTTGTCTTTCCCCCATTGCCTATTCTATAGAACTCATTTTGTGCACTAATTCCATTGTTGATAAGGCACCAAATTTGCTAGAGCAAATCTAGCTCTAGATTGTGCTATTATTATGGTTATGAAGCCAAGTTGCTGATATTTCTATCATTACCTCAGATTGAGGAGATCACTGTGGTTGCTGCTCTCGTTCTTTCAAATTACTCTTTGATATAGCACCTTAGGGCCAAAATTTTGCAATATGTTTTATAAAACATAATGATTCCATATATGTATATATTATAGAGTGATCACCACAATAAATCTATCACCTCACGTAGTTACATAATTCTTCATGTGATGAGAAATTATAAGATCTACTATCTTAGCAACTTCAAATATACAATATAGCATTATTAAGTACTAGAGGCCCAATGCATGAAATTCCTGCAAGAGTAGGCCTTCCTTTCTCCAACTGCTGGCACTCGCTTCTCTCTGGCACCCAGGACCCAAGCTTCCCTCTGGCTGCTGGCAGACACCTGGGACCTGGGCTTCCTTCACAGCCTGGCTTGGTCAGGAAGGTTGCCTGTAAGGATATCCAGAAGGACATCCAGTCTAATTAGCATATTATGCTTTTATTATAATATTATAGTCACCATACTGTATATTATATTCCCTAGAACTTATGTAATTTATAGCTGGTAGTTTGTATCTCTTTCTTTTTCTCTTTCTCTCTCTCTCTCACACACACAAAGAAAAAGTTTTAAAAACTTTACTGTTAAAATAAGCTTGACATTTTTTCATGTCACTCACATTATAAATATTATGAAAATAATTATAACATCACATCCATTTATGTAGATTTGTTCATAGCTCAGGATTGCTTAAACCAATAACATTAAATGTCCTCTTCTTGGTGTTTTGGGAGTCTTTGCCTTACAAGGTATTTTTTTTTCCCCCCAGGTGCAGAATGATCTTGAAATAAAACATAAAATCAAAGTACAAGCTTTACTTTACCCTCACTTACAGGTAATTGATTCTAATACGCCATCTCACAGAGAAAATGAGCATGGTGTGGTTCTGACAAGGGACCTAGCCATAAAGTTCCTGAGCTTATACATCACCGAGGATAAAACATTTCCCCAGGCACTAAAAAGAAACCAACATATGCCGCTGGAATCAAGACATTTGTTCAAGTTTGTTAACTGGAGTACTCTCTTACCCAAGAAGCTTAGAAAGGACTATGTTTATACTGAACCAATTCTTGGAAAAACTAGTTATTCATTGCCATCTCTTATGGACATCAGAATGTCACCCTTGTTGGCCAATGATTCCCAGTTACAGAATTTGCCATCAACCTATGTTATTACCTGTCAATATGATATCCTGAGAGATGATGGATTTATGTATGTTTCAAGACTTCAAAATGCTGGAGTTCAAGTTGCTCATGAACATATTGAGGATGGAATCCATGGAGCTCTATCATATATGACATCACCCCTGTATTTACATCTAGGTCTTAGGATAAGAGACATGTACATTAGTTGGCTGGATAAGAATTTATAAGTGTATATCAAATATATACCTGGCATCACTTAGTTGATTGTATTTTGTGATTTTTGTAGTTGTAGTACAAAGAACAATGCCATTTGTATTGTCTAAATCTAGACTTGAATCAGTTATAATGATTACTGCATATCCTTAAATTAGTAATATTTTTGACTCACAAAACCTGCATGTGATCCACTTTTTTCTCATTACTTATGGTTATTAGGATTATGTTGATCCTGATAGAGATCAGTGCTTATTAAAGTTTAGAAATAAGAATAATACTGACAAGTAAGAAAAGACAATATACAGATAGGTACAGAAATTGTATAAGTGGGAAGAGGAAAAAAAATGAAGACAACATCATAAGGAAATTGTATTAATTTATTGTGGCTGTTATAACAAAGTATTACAAAGTGTGTAGGTTAAAATAACAGAAATGTATTCTCTTGAATTCCTGGGCCTGAAGTCCAATATTAGTATCACTGGGCCAAAACTAAGGTACTGGTGAGAGACATGTCCAGATGTCTGAGCTCCTGCCTCTTTCACCTGGTGGCCAGCAGTACTCCTTGCTATAGCCAAATCACCTTAATCTCAGAGGCTGGCATCTACAAATCTCACTGCTGCATCTTCACAAAGTCTTCTCCCATGCCTCCTCTGAGAAGGATACATATGTTTGTATTCAGATTCTATCCAAATAATCTAGAACAATCTTCCCATTTTAAGATTCTTTTAAAAATTTTATCTTTATTATTGAGAATATTACAGATGTCCCTTTTGTTTATTTTTTCCCCATTGGCCCCCTCCACCCTGCACCTGCCCCTCCCAGACCTTCATCACATTATTGTCTGTGTCCATGGGCTATAAATATATGCATATAAATTCCCGGTTGATCTCTTCCCACCTATCTCCCCTCTCCTGCTTCCCTCTGAAATCCATGAGTCTGTTCCATCCATCTATGTCTCTCAGTCTAGTTTGTTCCTCAGTTTATTTTGTTCATAGATTCCACAAATGAGTGAGATCATGTGATACTTATGTTTTTCTGACTGGCTTATTTCACTTAGCATAACACTCTCCAGGTCCAATCATGTTGTTGCGAATGGTAAGTTTCTTTTTCTTTCTTATTTACAATCCTTTACTATTCAATTGTGAAAATGTAACAGCTTTTTTTATCCACTCATCTGCTGATGGACACTTGGGCCATTTCCAATTTACATTTGCAGATATTCCCTTTCTATCCCTATATAAGGTAACATACACAGAGATTAGGATTTAGATATTTTGGGAAGGCCTTTTTTAAATTTTCAGTGTTGTTGTTTTTTAAAAAGCAACAGAGCTACACTATAATTCAATCAAATCTAAATATGCACTTGACAATGTAGTTCATCTGAATATGTAGTGAAAAACTTTCCTACAAACATCCTAAATATATTATCTAGAAATACTCAAAAAATAAATCACTTCTGCAATCCTTTGGTTGAGTATAATCATATGTTAAAACTGAAGACTTATTGCTGTGAAAATGTGTAGTAAAGTAGTATGAATCTTGGGTATTAAGCATAATCAGTTGAATCAAGTGAAGTTAAAAATAAAAATGTGGCAAGAAATGTGTGTGTGTGTGTGTGTGTGTGTGTGTGTGTGTACCTGTAATGGGTGGAGGGGGTGAAAATCTACAAGCCAGTTGTCTATACACTAAATGGCAAGATTATTATGATCTTTGAATGCATAATAATCTGGCCACTCAGTGTCTAGCCTATATAACAAAAGGTTAATATGCAAATTGTTCCCTCTACCAGGAGTTCGACCAGCAGGCAGGCCAGCCAGCCACCTATGTCTCCTCCCCTTTTACAGATTGGCCAGAACCCACCCATGCATGCATTCATGCATTGGGCCTCTAAAATATATAGAATTTATATCCAGTGATAGAATAATCTGGCCACTCTAAAAATATATAGAATATGCATCAAGAAATCATAATAATCTGGCCACTCAGTGTATAATTTGTTCAGTTAAGACTAGACATTACATCATACCTTTTTCAGAAGGCAATTAAAAATGACAATTTCAACAGTCCATACTAGTAAAACACTGTACTACTGTAACCAGACAACCAAGGTGTCTGAGCTGCCTGTTACTACTTGAGCCAATTAAGCTGAGACAGGGTTAAATCATATATGAGTGTTTATTCCAATAATGCAGGCAGTATGGAGAGCTGCAGGTCACCCACAAAAAGCTGCTCTGCCTCTCTCCACAAGCCAGCTGCTTATATTGGGTAAGAGGCAAACATTACGTGGGAGAGTAAGCATTGCAGGCATGGGAAAGTAGACAAGGCCTAATGGTTACAGATTACAGGCCACGGGGACGGGAGTGTGTCATGGAGGGCAGGTGCCTCCAGGCACCACCTCTGGAACCAGTAGTGGCTGGGGTTGCAAAGGGTAAGTGAGGCCCTCTGAACTAGATCATTTTAGGCACAGGGCTGCAAATCTTTAATCTTTCCACAATGGTAGGCAGTTCTTGGGAAAGGAGGATGGACTGCATTCCGATGTTAACTCCCACGCCCCAGGGTCAAGGACTCTCAGCCAGGTTAGAATGTGCTTTCTCTAATAAGAACAATCATGGTTAACAGAGCATGATTAGTATTTTTATAATTATGGCTAGTCCCTAATATTGTATTTCAACCCTAGCACTATTTTTTTTTTTACTGCAGAAAGAAATTAACTATTTTCAAAAAAATATTTTTATTCAGCTTAATTTCAAGGTCCCTAGGATAAAAAATAAATAAATAAAGCATGCATCCATGATTCTCACAAATTAAAAAAAAAAAAAAATGGCATTGGAATGAGTTATTTTTCCCTACTGAGGTTAATGCAATCTATACAAAAAATTTGATACTTATATTGTCATGGTTCTGATTTCATTTCCAGTATACTTTCTTAAAATATATTTTTAAAGTATAAAAGTAATTATTTTCATGGTACTAAATCCAATTCCAGTTCTTTTTTTCATCATTTAGGATACTGGCTACCAGTTCCAGTCAGGGAAAAATAAAAACCTCTTGTGCAGGCAAAGCCAGAATATTGAGACTGGTGCTTGAAGATACAGAAAGGTTTATTTATTTAATCCACATGTGTCAAACACAAGGCCCGCGGGCCAAATCCATCCCGCCAGGCCTTGCAATGTGGCCCGCACCACGCTGTCATCACTGCACTCCGCTGCGTTTCCATCACAATGACAGTTTATGACTGTTCAGTAAACCATTCGGCCCGCGATTTAGGCGGAATTTTAGATTTTGGCCCCTTCTCTGATTGAGTTCGACACCCCTTGATTAAATTTTAATCAAACCAAGAGGATGAGGAGCAAGATTCTCAATCCCCCTCTCTCAAAAAAAAGCAAAATAGAGAGTTTTTATGCAAGTAGGGAGTAGGGGAGGAGGAGATCCAGAGAGAAGTCTGTGTTTCTTTAGTCACAGATAACACTTTTTCCTATCAGACTCTTGGGTGTCAGCAGTTGGCTGCAGCTACCTTGAAGACATTCCTTCCTTCTCCCAAACAAACTCGTAAATTTTCCTGAGACCCTGAAGTTGTCTCCTCCTGCTGGACAAAGAGACACCACATCAGCAACCTGGGACTGCATTTGTGAGACCGAAAGTTGAGCAGGAAGAGAGATTGAACACATGAACAAAGGCCTAATTAAGAATTAAGAAAGAACTCTTACCATTTGCAACAGCATGGATGGACCTGGAGAGCGTTATGCTAAGTGAAATAAGCCCGAGAAAGATAAGCACCACATGATCAAATTCATATTGGAATCTGATGAACAACAAACTGATGAACAAAAATGGATCCAAAGACAGAGAAACACGGAACAGAATGTCAAACCTCAGCAGGAAGGGAGGGATGAGATGGGTGGGCAGAGATCCAACAAGGAACTTGTATACACATATATGCATAACCAATGGACACAGACAATAGGGTGGTAAAGGCCTAAGGTCGGGGACCTGGGCGAGCTGGGAGAGATCAATGGGACATATATAATATTTGCAATAATAAAGATTAAAAACATTAAATTATTTAATTCTAACTGCCTAGCATGAGGGGCATCAAAATTGCAAGCTCAGCTCTGTGCTTCAGTGAGTGACTAAGGGTCCTCCCTATGGACAGGAGAGTTCACAGAAGGGTGCTCCAACCTCTTTACAGAAACAATCACCAACCTTGTAGGAAGATTGTCTGGAGGTACCTTTGTTTGACACCATTTCCAACAGGAAGTCCTCCCTCTTTTACATCACATTTGTTGTACTCACTGTCCTTAAAGCATATCCAAAAATACCAAAATCAAGGAGGTGGCTGGTATCATCAGGGACATATACTGTATATTTGTTTTGTATTTGGGGTTATAAACTAGACTATGTTATTCATTCTGGCACTTACGTTGTTTCAGCTTAGGTCATTGGCAGCTCATTCAGATGGGCTCTCCCTCACACAGACCTCTGTCTCCTTAAGATTGGTTAGTATTGCCGAAACTGGTTTGGCTCAGTGGATAGAGTGTCAGTCTGCAGACTGAAGGGTTCTGAGTTCTTTTCCGGTCATGGGCATGTATCTTGGTTGTGGGCACAATCCCAGTAGAGGGTATGCAAGAGGCAGCTGATTGATGACTCTCTCTCATCAATGTTTCTCTCTATCTCTCTTCCTTCCTCTCTGTAAAAAAAAAATCAGTAAAATATATTATATATAAAAAAAAAGATTGGTTAGTGTTGAGGGATAGTAGGGCCCAGACTCTTCTATCCCCTTCAGATCTGATGGCAGACAGCTTGTACTCACTCCCGAGGGTGCTCAAATCCTGCCAGTTTCAGCGGCTTTCCAATTTGTTACTAAGACTACAGATGAATACACGTTGGTAAGGTCTGCTCTATTGTTTCACTCGGCTTCCTCCTGCACAGAGGCTGCTGCTGCTGCACAGGCCTTGGAGCTGTTGGGGTCTTGTGTCCACTGCTCATCCTCGGAGGTTTGTGCAGCACTATGCAGGGTTAGCTCATAGTTGGCTTCCTGGTATGTTGTCCATAGTTTGTTGGTTTTATTAACCAAGTTTCTCTGTGAGTTTTCATGGGGACATTGAAAGGTTTGTAAAAGCTAAAGACTCATAGTGGGATATTTAGCACATTTTTTTCCCTAGTAACTGATAGAATAAACAGCTAAAAATTAATAAGTAGAGGAGATTTTGGAAAAATAATAAAATTCATTTAATTTATACAAATTGAAACCAGTATCAAGTAATGTCATAATACACCGTCATTTCAAGTACACATGGAACTTAAAAACAAACAAACAAAAACAACTCTTGCTTATAAACAATTTTTATCACATTTAAAATGATGGAAGCTATGCATAATCTTTGGCTACAGTGGAATTAGGCTAGAAGTGAATAACATGATAATTCAAAAATCCCATTTTTTTAAATAAACATATAACTAAATAATTCATGGTTAAAAACATAATTAAAAATTAGAAAATATTTCTACTTAAATAATAATAAAAACACCACATACCAGTACAAGAAAAAAACGTGTGGAAGGCAGCTAAAACTGGTCTTACAAAAGAGTTTATAACTAAAATGCATGCATTAGAAAAGAAGCAAGGACAGATATCAGAGGAGGATCTAGAATAAAAACAGGCCTGAACAGATAATTTTTGCAACTTCTACTAAGGTACTTGCAAATTAAGTCAAGCACTGCCACCCAGTGGCAACTTTTGGAATTTGAGATTCAAAAATCCACTTGGGAACAGTAGCAAAATACTGCTTTTTTGACCAGTTGATTATTGTGCCTTGGTGCAAA